TGGGCCGCCACGTGTGCTGCCACTCGGCTGTTCTTCCAGGACACTGCCCCTTCTCCTTTCTTCCATTTGGCGGCCCATGCCACCAGCCCCTCGGTGACCACCGTGTTATCCTCTGGGTTGGCACGATCCCTGTTGCCTCCCTTGCTGCGCTCCACGTTCACATGAACTTCAGGCTTCTGCTGAGCAGAAAGGAAATTTAGCTCTGGGCAGACACAGAATTAAGCCCATCTACACTGAAATTCCCTGAAGGAATAAACCTACCAAAGGTAGCAAAAGCTGAGGCAGCAGTCCTACATACAGGAGTCTCTCTTTATTCATTTATTTTTGTTCCTCCCCAGAAGAGACACAGCTTGTGGACCGAATGAGGCAGTAACCCCATGTACAAATGACTACGCCACTGTGTAATGCAGACTGCTTGTGTGAAAGAGGCTGAATTAGGATCATACAGGTCAATTCATCAGTATTATACAGGTCAATTTTTAAGTGCTTGGCTTTGCAACCTTAATAACATACTTTTGATGTAGCTCATGTGCCTAATTGTAATTACTTCAAGAACAATGCAATTCTGTGACAAGAAAAAAAGTCTGGGCAAGATCTTTGTTTATAAACAAATCCTTGCTTATAGCCATTACAGAGATATTTTAATTAAAATATATTACAAACAACTAGAGAGAAAGAATAAGCAACAATTATGTAGAAAGGTAAATTACTGAATGGAAGACATGCAGGCTGCTTACAAATTGAACAAGACGCGAAGGAGAGAAAATATAGAGATGACTCAGAGGGACAGCCCTGGCTGTAACCTAATCATGAACTGGAGGAGAAGAAAAATCATCTGAACGCTGCGTATAAAAGTAAGAAGGGAGAAAATGACAGTTGCAGACTAGAGAGAGGCAAAGGCATGGAGGAAAGCCAAGTATTTAACATTTCAGGATAGAAAAGATTACTGTGGCAACAAATTACTTGAATTCCCCTAAAGGGAGTCATGTTCACTTTTAAAGGAAACATGCATAATAAAGCAATACTCATTTACAACTACACTTTAAAGAGAAAAATGGGCATTAAAAAAAAAGAGCACATGGTTTCACTAAATTTATTGGTGAAATTCTGATACCTGAAACCTCTAGTCATACATGGAGCAGTCACAGCAGATTTTTATCTAGATTATTAAAGCTTTGAATTAAACGCCTTGTCTTATGCATGCTTTGGAAAGCTCTGTGCAAATCTATGTATGTGATTAATAATAAAAATAACAAGTAAGATAATCTTGAAACATAAAGAGCATTTTGCTTTTCCAATTTCTCTACTTGATTGTTCACTAGAGGATACTTCTTTTCTTTTTTGGTCTATTATTGGGGTTTGGTTTGTCGGGTTTTTTTTAACTTAGCAGTCTATTTTATTATTGCAGCATTTGTCATTTGCCAAAAGGCTGTGAAACAGTGTGGTTTTTAAAGAATGCATTCTTCTATTAGCCAAATCAATTCCTTCTGATACTGTTTGCCTCCGTTTGTGGGTATGGCTCCAGCAAGGTCAGTAATTAGCTCCTAGGCTAATGCTCCTGGGCCCCGCCGTGGGAATTTTACTCGGGAGGATGTCAGATTGCTGACCACAGCCTCACACAACCCCTCCACCCCCCAAGAGTTTCCTTTAGGTAAATATTACTAATGATTCAGTGCTGCATGGAGATAGAGTTGACCAGTGACGACATTTCTGTATCTTTTCAGTTTTCACTACCCTGCGATGGAGAACACGTTCAGGTGAAGAATTTAAAACCATTCAGTCATAAAGTATTTCTTAATATTGCTTTTTTTTAACTAAAATAAACATCAATGATCTTGCTTGGCTTTTACCAACGGATGATCAATCCTACAAATCCTCGATAAGGCCTCTTACTTGGGATATTTAGTGTACTGTAAAGGGGGAGCTGGAAGAATCTTTGCTATAAACCCACTTGCTGCTGCTGAAGAGGGCACTCTTAGCTTTCTTTTACAATTCCCCTAATTATTTTCTTCAGTCTTACCCTCTGCCTGGCCTCCACTGCAAAGCATTAGCAGGCCCATTTGTAAAGTAGTAGTAACACAAAGTGAAACAATGCCATAACTGTCATCCAAATTGTTCTGTACAGGGTAGTGGAAGTGTTCAGTAATAAATGATATAAAAAGGTCTTTTATTGACAAGCTGCCATGTGCTGTTTGCATTAGAGAATATGAGAAGATGATGGCTGCTGCCCCTAGGTCCCAGTGGCATTCAACTCAGTGAGATAGCAGAAAATGCTTCAGTTTGCTTAAAGCATTGATAACACCTCTAAATAATTAACTGAGGACTTCCTGTCTTCAATTACTTAATGCTTTTTTTAACATCTTGAGAGGATTATAAGCAATTTATGGATTTCACATGATGAGCACATTCACCGCTATTCCCACAAAGCATTTGTGGGATCATGTTTCCAAAGCTTTGATGTAATTAAAAATAAGCAGCAAGACAATGGTGCAGTGGAAAGGTGCTAGCCTTCTCGTCTGTTATTTGCAAGACCCTAGATTCAAAGTCTCAAGAAATACTAATGCTACAGCTTCATTAATGTTCAACTGTTGCTCAGGGAAAAGGAGACAGTTTTGAAAAAAAAAAAAAAAAAAGAAAAAAGGAAAAAAGGAAGCTGAGAAAATCAAAACATACATCCACAGGGAATAAGACAACAGTTCAAACATTTGAGATTATGTATGAAACAAATTCGATTGTTTTATCTTATTCTTTTAATTTAGAGAGAAATAATTACCCACATTGCTAAATTGCTGCCATGAATTCCACATTATTACCCAAGGAAGCTCCCGCAGAAACCAGCACAAGATTTGATTTTGACTGTCAGGAGGAACGATCACTTATTTCACTCCTGGCTTAACATGGCAGCATTGGACAGTGGCTTAATGGAACAGGCACACAAAAGGAAAAAAGATCCTTGTTTATCATAAGGTAATTTCATTTCCTCTCCCTTGCAACTGGTAAGAAAAATAGTATTTTTTGCATTAAAATCTCAGTTACTCTGGAGGTGTAACTACCTTTTGGGAAGGAAGTAGGAGCAGGAGAAGTATTTTTCAAATGGGTTTGATAAATCATTCCTTGTTGTTAGGTGTTCTTCACAGTATAAACTTACAACAGCAATTCTAAACCACATATCACCAACTGGCGTACTCTAGTTAATATCTCATGTCTAGAAGCACTGAATATGGAGACAGGTGTAATACACAGTTGATAAATTCCATACTTGAGCATGATATTGTCAAAGAGGAATAGCAATCCTTTACTCCTCTATGAGTGACTACAGCAAGGATGAACTTTTTTAAAGTCCTAAGGGATCCACTCTGACTCAGGACTAATTCTTTGAGGGGTGGTTGAGAGTGCCATATATGCTGTATAGATTTTATATGCCCTAAGTCCACTTCTACTCTTTGGGTGGCTATAATATGGTGTGTATAATCTATGAATGTCTAAGTTTCCTACTTGGGTGAGGGGAAAAAAAAAAAGGAAAAAATAATGCATTTGTGAATTCCTAAAAATCACAGATACAAGAATTTGATGAGCAACCTGAGGTCAAAGAGTGAAAAAAGATATCCCAGAATGCTTATGTTCCTGTTTTGTGGTCAACAGAAACATTTCTAAGAATAATTTTGCTTCAGTGTAACATTCAAATATAACTAAAAATTGAATATGTGAACATAATACATTTGGGGTCCGAGTCAAGTCTTCCCCCCAAAATCCCTTGACTAAAGCTTCTTTCAGATACACACATTAGTGAAATTTCACCAAGTATTTAGAAAATTGCTATAAGCAATATATAAGATTATAAACAGGATCCAAGATCTTTCCCTTTCTGTCTTCCTTTCCTTTTTATTATCTCAGGCATAAAGAACTGGATCCTTCTTGCTGCTACACTGCTACACATTCACAGCAGCGCTAGTGACTTCAACTGCACTACTGCACATTAATGATGGTAAAAAGAGAGAGCTGAATCCGTGTGAATGGATGGCAAGCCTACACAGAATATCTGAGACCTCGAGCACACCACAAACCATGTATCTTGAATCAAGCTGGATAGATTTATTTTAAAATTTTGAAATTAAATGTATTAATATTTTTACAAACAGCAGCCAGAAATGAAAGAGATGATTGAAAAAATAAATTTAAGATATGTAAAGTCATGATAAAGCATTCCAAGCTGTGCACAGTACTGGGGATTTAAAAGTTACTGACAAGTAGCATTTTTAGTATGTTAATACTGTCTTATATCTTAAGGACAGGACATTACCCTGTCAGAGAGCTCTGCCTCCTTACCTGATACTATGTGCTGCATTCTGCTTGCAGTGTCAGTGTGTATAAGTCC